TTTTCGAGAAAATAAGCGGTAAACGATTTCTATGATGTCATCATTACGTCATAATGAAAAGGCCGCTTTAAACTAATTTATCATTTTTGAAACCTTTAATCCTTTCCTGACATTGTGTGAAAAGCGCTTGCAGRTSGAGTTATTCAAGACGAAGTTGTAGCCGTTTCAATGCGGCTAGGTGTGCCAGACCAAAACTACCCTGAGCCTCCTTAAAGGAAGCAAACGACTTCAAACAACAACACGATGGAATTTACTATAATTATGTCCAGATGAGAATATGTGGACCGCGTAGCACTTATGAAATACATGAAGATATAGAAATATAGATAAGTTATAGTGCTTGGGAATGAGGTTATTCCGGGCGAAAGCCCTTGGAATTAAATTCGGAAAAATTAATTTCCGACCTCGCTGGGAAACGGAATAACCTCATTCCCAAGCACTATAACTTATATCTATATTTCTATATCTTCATATAATTATGTCCGTAGTGTTAAAGTACTGATGTATCATTTTCAGGTTGTATACGTACAGTCTATGGACAATGGAGAATCTGCACTAACAGTTGTTCCAGTCAGCAGCCAATCAGAGTCAATACAAATACAATCTGACCCACTGAACTCGAGTCTACAGGTGTTAGCATCTTCACGGACAAACAATCAGATACAAGAGCTAGGCACCATGGCCCAAGATGTTGCTGAACAAGTCAGCGGTGATCAAGATTTGGAAGACATTTTAAATCAAGGTCAGTGGTTCTTTGAGGCTAGAAAACTTCTGATATCATTTTWAAAACGTTTTGGCAATGTACAGTGGGCACTTTCGCGGATTACATTCATAGTAGTTGAATTTCAACTAAATTGTTTTTCGGGTACCGGATACAGTTTACGTAGTCAATTCAATAGAAATTGAATTACTACGTGTAGAGAAAACTTAGGACAAAATATAATTACACAGATAGCTTCGAATTCCATGGAAATTTTCTGTCTCCTACAATTTGTGTTCCAGGACAAAGTAGAGTAGTAGTACCCTCCGAGGCATCCGTGCGAAGTGAGCCATCCATCGTGTCCACAGGGATCTCATCTTTCCATTCTTACACATCCCAGACAGAACATTCGCAAGTACCTTCAAGTCAAACGCTACATTTTACACAGTCATATAGCGAGCTCACTAACGAACAAGGTGACCCAGTACAAGAAGATGGGAATGTCATATTCGAAGGAGCATCACCAACTAGGCCAGCCAGTCATATAGGGCAGAAGTCCCAAGACCTTTCAAACATAGCCACTTGTGAACTGGCCAACCAAGAACCGATTGAGCTGTCAGGAGTTACGAACAGCCTGGACATCAATGACTTGGTGTCCAATGCCCCAGTGGCTGCGTCACAGGTGCCGAGTATTGAGGGTGGTATCTCACCCACATCTCCTTCCATGACATCCAACCAGATGATAACAAGTGCAGACTCATCCATTCAATTCCAGAGTCCATCGAAGACTATTATGTCTAGTGACTCATCCAGTCAGTTCCAGAGTCCACCTTTAAGTGACTGTGATCAGTCTTCAAGAAGCTGCAGAGGATCTGAAAATGATAGTCTATCATTGTTGAAGAGCGACGGTGGGCCTCAAGAAGACGATCGAGTGTTCAGTAAGCTGTTTGAAAAAAACATTACTCCTTGTTCGGAAAACATCTACCAGCATCCATCTGTGGTGCCTGAACGAACGGGTATGAATGTGGGCCGCTGTAAGAATACGGAATGTGACTGCAGGCTCTACCATTGTCCCTTGTGCACTTGTCTGCCCAACAAACCAGGACGAATAAAGGAACACTTCAGGAAAATTCATGCTGAAAATTTAATCATCAAATATCGAGGTATGTGGCATTGTAGAGCATTCGTCTTAAGGATAAACAGTTGCTATAACAAAATCACTCTCTGGACTGCAAGGCTAGCATGGGGGATGATGTACCGTGTATAGTTAGGATTCTCCATCCTACTTAGGGTTAGGATGGGAGAATGCAGTAGATGTGGTAAAGTGTGTTTCATATAGTGCTGCCTTATCCTTTCCCGAGATGTTTTTTTCCTCCGTAATTTACTGTTTTTTATCAAGGCCTTGGTTTCATTATAAGCTGTCTCGCTCCAATGCGGGCATTTCTGTCTTAGCTTTCGTTAAAGTATATCTTTGGCTTTGAATAGGTTTGTAAATGACACTGGTGCATGGAAGGTTTTTAAACCTTAAAGAGGCGCACAGCTGATTCACTGGAAGAACACTTCACGTAAACACATTCGTTTACATTTTTCCCGCAGGTTATCAGATGCTGAGATGCAAACTTGGCTGCTGTCGTCCTAATGGGAGACGAATCCTCAATTCTCATTATCACTGTTTCCTATGCGGCGGCATCTGCATTAGTAAACCAGGCGTCTATGAACACATGAGGACACAGCACGCCCAGGGCAGAGATAAACCCGAAACCCACTCTAATGATGGTCCAGAGAAACGCAAAAATACCTCCACTTCCACGGCAGTACCAGCCAAGAAACAAGCAGTGGATCATGATCTAACGCAACTCTCATCACCGCCTAAGACAAAACTGGAGGAAACATCACAGAGTCTACGACCTTTAGTATTGCAAGTCCCAAACATGTTGTCAGGACAACAAGCTTCCAATAACAATCAAAGGGTATYGTTAGATGGTCAGAGCTTAGATCAATCAGGAGGCATCCCCACCTCTCAGCAACAGATTACGGTCCAGTTGCCCGACGCACAAGCTTCTCCTTCACAGCAACAGCAGCAGCAGCAGCAGCAACCAGTTGTCATCCTGATGCCACAGCAATCACAGAATTATATTCAAGGACAACAACAGCAACAGCAACCCATTGTTATCGTTATGCCCCAAGGGGGTGGAGCTGGGGGCATTCAGATGGCACAACCTATTATTATACCCGTGCCCCAATCTGTAAATAACTAGGTTTTTTTTGTTTTTTTTTTTTGTTTGTTTTTTTTTTGCATAAAAATTACTTTGTTAGATAATGTTGTTCTACGCACCTTACGAGAAAATATCAGTCCTGCCAAGGGCATGTGGCATATTTCTCGTGAGGGGTTCGTAGTGGACTTATATAATTAAAAACTTAGATATCTTGTTTATAAATATATTTAGAGGTAAGTGTTGCTGGTTGGTTCGGTTAACTCGCCGATGTCACCTTTATAGCTAAATCGATCAAAAGTGTCCACTTTCTTTCGCCCTTTCTTTCATATGAAGGTTAAGGTTACTCTCTAGGTTTACTCTATTACGTTTTTATGACTTCGCCATTATGGAGGAGATCACTTGATTTAAATGTGTAAATAGTTCAAATAGTAACTGAAATCATTAACTTCAACGAGCTTCAAATCAGCAGTTTAAAAAGCCTGAAAAAGTATGCGGAATTCCGTAAAGCACTTGGGGAAACTCTGTTAACGTCAAATAGCACGAGATATGATAATCAGAGAGAAAAGAAAACCTTGATCAATAATGGCAGCCGGCAGCGACAACAAATTTTCGGAAATTGATAAAAATTAAATGGCCGAAATGGTGACCAAAAATATAAAGTAAAGATTATATTCTTGGGTATAGACCGCAACCACTGTCGGACACTTTTAGCACTTTTAGATCTTCCCTTTACTTTTCCCCGCCCTAAATTTTATTGGCTTTGTGAACAGATATTTTTTTAATCGTTGCACAGTGACCTTGTTAACCACATGACTTTATTTATAAGAAAGACTAAACCAAAAATGTTACACATGACCAGACTCTTATCGATAGCTTATATTGTGGCATCCATTCTTCAGTCGTCTAGGGAGAATGCTTGTTTACACGCCATTAGAGCATCCATGGCGTTGGGTGCAATTCTGAGTTGATCTATCTTTAGGTTGGTAAAATAGTAATTGTAGTCCTTGTACGTGACCCATTTGCCGTCATCATCTCCTTTTGTGTGGTGGCCATCATAAAGTGTTACACCAAAAGCGTCCTGCAATGAAGAAGAAACTAGTTGAGCACTTTTAAACATTCGCACTTAACACGAAACATTCGCAGAAATTTATCTAACGTTTAACTTTTAAATAATTATCACAGAAAGCTAAATTAAAGTCTGTGAAGATACTATATTGGTCCCATTTCGCTTTTAGTCAAATGGAACCAATATATATTCCCTTCTAAAAACTTCCCTCCGTCTATGCAACACTGCGCCATGATTTTCTCATTCAAATAGTCAGACGTTTAATGATACCTTATGGATGTTCGTAATTCTTCCCTGGTGGAACCTACCACCGCCAGTGTTGTTCCCTAACGTAGCCCCGTAAGAACCTTGAGGGAAGAAGACGATGGAATCCACACCGATTTGATCGGGCGAAGGAATGGTGTCGATGGCCACATTCTGAAAATACCATGAGATCAATCAGTACAATGACTAAACCGCATACAAATACAGAGGTAAAAAATCGATACCTTGTAGGTCTCGTGTCTTCCTGATGGGTCGTTATCGTCCCAGTTGACTGTGTACTCCAGAGTTTCTGCGTTGAAACTTTCAATAGTAGCGTAGTAGAACGCCCATTTATGGTGGTGGCATATCACGTGATCTCCTGGCATTGGTGCGCGGAAGTCCTTTTTTTCTTTCGTTTTGTTTTTAGTTCCAAGAATTGCCTTCACATTTTTCCTAGCAAAACACAAAGATTGCTTAAGGTAATTACGTCAAGGTTTAAGTTGGGTGTAATGTTTTCCCATTTCAGACTACATGTCATTCTCTTGAGTATAAGATTCTTTGTTTGAGCTGTATCCATTTTCATGTGTCTTCTCATGTGCCACCTTTGGACAAAGAAATGATACTCAAGGGAATGACGTGGTCTGAAATGGGAAAACATTACGCCCAAGCCAAAACGGTACCTGATTCACCAACATTCCTTCTTTTTAAAATATAACGTTTTACACAAATGGAAAGGTTTCCTCTGAGGTAGTTCAGTTTGATCATTAACCTTTTGGCTACGATAGTGATAGTCATCATCATTATAGCATGTTGAATTGGATTGGCTTGAAATAATACTAGTTTCACTTACTCGATTTTTTCCAGGGCGTTACGGTAGTTTTCTTCAGTTGTCACAGATTGCATATCGATTATTTCTGTCTCTTGACTGGACACCAACAAGCCTATTACGGTGTCTCGCCAGTCGGAACCTTCTCCCACTACAACTGGAATGATGGGCTTCTTGAGTGACTGAAAATGGAAGTGTTTGTTAAACAACCGACGATAGACCTCTTAAGATCAGCTTGGGAGTAATGTTTTCCCATCTCATACCATGCAAGTGTGATTCTCTTTAGAATATAAGATTCTTTGTTTGAGTAGTATTCATATTCACGTGTCATGATATTCTTGAGAATGATGCGTGGTCTGAAATGGGGAAAAATGGATCCCACTTACTTGCTTCTGCACCCTTGGGCTTTGTGCACTAATGTATCATGCACCCTGTCACATCATGACTCATTCTCATAGAATGATAATTATACTGAATTGACTTGACTTCCCCAACACCAAACTAGGATTACTATAGGTTCAGGTGTTACATGTGATACCATCAGTACACAACTTAACAGCTATTCCCAAAAAAGGTTGGTGCTGGTTTTGATACATGTTGCATATTTACTAAGCTTTGAAATGTATTATATTCATATGTAAATGTAAGCACAGAAAAAAGTATGCCTGAAATACAGACAATGTTTGGGAAAATTCCATATCGTTGTGACCTTTCACTGATTGGATCAGTCACATCGTCCATTGGTATACAACATGCATCAAAACCTTTACCTTTACTTTGATTGGCATGTTGAATAAAATACTCACTTTTAAGGCAAACTGGAACTCTGATCTGCAGTTGTCACTTTTAGCATATTCAGCACTTACACAAACAATCACCACTTTGGCTGTATTCAAACCTGAGGCTATTTGCTGGAACTAAAAGTTGACACTATACATGAATTTCATTCGACCATACCGTAGACTTCATCATGCTCAAAGACACTTTCTTTGCCACAGATACCATAATCATGATCATGAGATAAAGTTTAAATTTCTGAGCACTGAAAAATCCTCTGGATTGATCTCAGTCAGACACTGCTAATTCACAGATACGATTGGAATTTCTTTGTTTAGTTGTTTTGAGAGGGTAGAAAACCTGGAAAACCCGAGGAAAACTCCCGGGGGGGGGGGGGTACTCCCCTATATTTGCTATACGGGTATGTGCCGCCCTATAGGGTATGGTTTTTCGGCTTTTGGGTCTGGGGTAGGGTATCATTTTTTGACATTTTGTCTGGGATAGGGTATCATTTTAGTCTGGGATAGGGTTAACGATTTGGTCGTTTTTGTCTGGCGAATAGGCTACGCTTTCTGCCGACCAAAAACAATAAATATGTTAGTAAATATTGATTGCAATCGATTGTAAAACCGTATTTTCCATCTTTTAGTCTGGGATAGGGTGTATATTTTTTAGTTTTAGTCTGGGGTAGGATATGTAAAATCAAAATTTTAGGTCTGGGATAGGGTCAGGGTTTTGAGGTCCTGGCGGCACACCCCTACCCAAGTTGGGGTGGTAGTMCCCCCCCCCCCCCCCGGGGGAAAACTTCGCGAATCAAGAGGGAGACCTAACAAACTTTTCTCGAGTTTGATGCAAAGTCCAGGAGTGGAACCCGAGACGCACCTTAAGGTAGAGAAAGGTGAGTGTACTGACTACCACACCAATGATTCCCTATACTTACCATGCTCATAGACTCGGCCGATTGGTTAGTTGTCTGGAGTCGTTCAATATCAAGCCATAAAACGAGATCACCGCTTTTTGAGAGATCCTCTTTGATTCTTCTTGCATCTGCAAACTGACTTCCTACGAGTTTTGGAATCTATACATACGAAAACATTTAGAATTTAACAAGCTTTTACAGTATTTTTTTCACTGATGATTTTATTCGCTAGGTCGTACGTACTTGATGTGACTGAAGAGCTTTGTTGGAATTTGACCAGCAGTAGCTCACAAATACATCTGGAGTTGGAAGTTTCTTGGGAACACTTGTAACCGCTGAAATTCCGAGAGCAAAGTAAAGTAAAGGCAAGAATATATAGGTGGTTACCAGTCATCCAAAAGGGAATGAAAAAAACATTCTTATACCAACTAAAACAGGAAAAATGTCTTGATATATCCAGACAACATGGTAGCCATCAAAACCAGCATTTTAAAAACAAGCCGCCTTAATTCTTACCTGCGTCTGTTGTATCAGCTCCAGTCGGCACACTTTTACCAACTGCCTTGAGTAACTCCTGCATCTTCATTTCCTGTACAGTTTTGTCTTTAAAGTGAATGTACAACTCACCAGCGATGAGTAATCCAACAACACTCATCATCCATTCAAATGATTCACCAATGACTACAGGAATGACCGATTTCTTGGCTGTCTTCTTCGCGTACTGGAACTCCTGACGACATATCTCATCACTGATGTTAATAACAAGTAGGAAACATATGAAAAAGGAAAGATGAAATTCCATCCCTTGGAGCAACCCCAACATCAAGATGAATAACACCAGCTGCAAAGCCACGAAACAACAACACTAGTGCCAAATGAGACCGTGCAGCCCCATGCAGTAAAATAGCCATCACCACCACCACCACCATGGCGGCTTCAACCTTAGCTTTGTAGCATCATTTGTATTTTATCCCTCTGAGTCAAATTACATGTTTTATATTCATGCTTAATTAGCGCGGGCATATCAACGGCAACACTTTAAATAATGACTTACTTGGCGTACTCGTCGCTCAAGAATGCTATCACCACCTTGGCGTTATGAATCATTTTGACAGTCTTCATCAGGTCCCCGGATGGTTCTTGACCAACAAGTAAGCCATTCTGCTGCAACTGGTTCCTAATGTCATGTGGGTCGCACATGGCTGCGAGTGCTTCATTGTAGCTTGGCGGCAGATCTTGATTTCCTACCTCATTATTACGTACTGCGTCCAAGCTGTTCAACTGAAAAGCAATAGAGGTTCTTTCAGAGCGGATTTAGAATTTAGACTTTGGATTGGCAGTCGTTGCATTCTCAGCAATATTAAAGACTTTTTTAGCTTGGACGTAATGCTTAAATACCTTAATTTAGAACACGCGTCATTCTTTTAACATTCTTTAGTTACAGTCTAGCCATATTTATGTGTTTGCTCATGAGAAAGATACTCCTAGGGAATGACAGGCAGCTGTTACATTCTCAGAAATGCTATAGACCTCTTTAGCTTGGACTTAATGCTTTCCCATTATAGACCACTTGTCATTCTCTTAGGAATAACATCCTTTAGTTGGGGTATATCCATATTCATGCGTTTTCTCAAAGTGATACCCAAGGAAGTGACTTGAAATGCACTTGCGATTAACATACGAAGGTGATTAAAAAATCACAACTGACTCGCTCTACTGGGAACAGTAGTAAGAACATCACATATTTAAGTCATGACATATTTAGTTATAACAACGTGCGAATATCTTCGAAAATACCTTTGAATAAGAAATAAAGACATCGCAAGAATCAGCAGCATCTTCATTGGTGTCATGTACTGATTCTTCATCGTTTGATGCTTCTGCTGACAGCAAGTCAAGCACGTTGGGAGCAATTCTTAACTGATTTCTTGTCAGGCTGTAGAATTCTGGCTCATATCCTCTAAAGGTGACCCATTTGCCGTCTTCTTTACCTTTGGTGTGTTGACCGCTGTACAGTTTTTCGCCATTTTCGCCTTTAGAGACGAAAGTTATCTTTCCCTGTAAGACGGTGGGAATTAAATTCAGTCAGTAGGGGGACTAGCCTATTTTTATAAATGGTATTTAAGAGCGAGCAGGCAAGGATTGGTGGATGGAATTAGAAAGCAGGCAAGGATGTATGAATGGAACTAGGAAGCAGGCAACGATGGACTGGATGGAATTAGGAGGCATGCAGGCAAGGATGGATGGATTGAATT